AATGGAAGGAAAATTTCCAAACTCTTTCTAGGAGGCCAGCATTACCTTGATCCCTAAACCAGACAAAGACCCCACCAAAAAGGAGAATTACAGACCAATATCCCTGATGAACAAGGATGCAAAAATTCTCACATAAATCCTAGCCAATAGGATCCAACAATACATTAAAAGGATTATTCACCATGACCAAGTGGGATTTATTCCTGGGCTGCAAGGGTAGTTGAACAACTGCAAATTAATCAGTGTGATACACCATGTCAATAAAAGAAAGGACAAGAACCATGTGATCCTCTCAATAGATGGAGAAAAAGCATTTGACAAAATACAGCATCTTTTCTTGATAAGAACTCTCTGTAGTGGACGGATAGAGGGAGTATACTGCAATATCATAAAAGCTATATTAAAAAACCCACAGTCCCCCTAGGGTCAGGAACATGACAGGGATGTCCACTCTCACCACTGCCATTCAACACATTATTGGAAGTCCTAGCCTCAGCAATCAGACAACAAAAAGAAATAGAGGCACCAATACTGGCAAAGGAGAAGTCAATCTTTCACACTTTTCAGAGGACATGATACTCTATGTAGAAAACCCAAAGACTCCAACAAAAAATAGCTACAACTGATACAGGAATTCAGCAAAGTCATAGGATACAAAATCAATGCACAGAGAAGTCCGTTGCATTTCTATACACTAACAATGAGGCAGAAGAAAGAAATCAAGGAATCAATCCCATTTACAATTGCACCAAAACCCGTAAGATACCTAAGAATAAACCTAACCAAAGAAGTAAAAGATCTGTACTCTGAAAACTATAGAACACTTATGAATGAAATTCAGGAAGACATACGGAAATGGAAAACATTCCATGCTCATGGACTGGAAGAACAAACACTGTTAAAATGTCCATACGCCCAAGCAGTCCCCAGATTTAATGCAATCCCTAGCAAAATACCAACAGCATTTCTTTTTTCCCAGAGCTAGAACAAACAATCCTAAAATTTGTAAGGAACCATAAAAGACCAAAATAGCCTAAGCCATCCCGAAAAAGAAAAAGCAGGAGGTATGACAATTACAGCTTTCATGTTATACTACAAAGCTATGGGTATCAAAACAGCAGGGTACTGGCACAAAAAATAGACACACAGATCAAAAGAACAGGACAGAAAGCCCAGAAACAAACCCACCATTATATCATCAATTAACTTTTGACAAGAAAGGCAAGATATGCAATGGGAAACATACAATCTCTTCAGAAATGGGTGATGGGAAAACTGGTCAGCTACATGGGAAAGAATGAAACTGAACCACGTTCTTACACCATAGACAACAACGAACTCAACGGATTATAGACCTAAATGAGAGAAATCAATGTCTGCTGTTTAAGCCCCCTGGTCAGGGGTATGTCCTTCTAGCAGCCCGAGCAGTTAATCCAGGCTCCAGCTACACTGAGGTGCACCCCAGCCATTCACAGCTTTTCACCCGTTTCTTCTGGGAGGCCTGTATGTTTATTTTTGTTTTTTTGAGAGAGAGAGAGAGCAAACCCACATACGGAGAGGGGGGGAGCGGATGAAGGAGAGAGAATCCTAAGCAGGCTCCACACCCAGCATGGAGCCCAAATGGGGCCTGAGCCGCCTTGATCTCCCGACTCTGAGATCATGACCTGAGCCAAAACCAAGAGCGGGAGCCTAACCCCCTGGGCCACCACCCAGGCGCCCCTGGAGGCCTGCATTCTTCTTCGCGGTGTGAGGATACACGAGGGGGAGGGGAGGCACACCTGTGATGCATAAGAACAGGAACCGTGGGCCTGCCAGGGCCTGGGGCGTCAGCGGCTGGAACTGTGTGGGAGACTCTGGGCCATGAACGTGAGGCCGCCACCAGTGAGGGAAGGCACCCCATCCTCCCTGCTCCTCTCCTTCCAGGAACGATTAGTATCTCTCTCTGCTCTCCACGTCCTTCCCCTGTCTGCTCGCTTCCGCGCCCAGGGCTCCTGCTTCCTCTCCCCTTGGGATTGCCCGGACCCCCAAGTCTCTGATCCCGCACCCTTCCTGCGGCCCCTCTTGTCGGGTCAGCTCAGCTGCACTTCTCCGCGCTGGGGACCACTCTCGGTCCCCCGCGTCCAGGTCCGGAGAGTCTGGTCGGCTGAGCGCTGCACCCGGCTCAGCCTTCCGATTGGCTGCCACGGGTCAGGTGCTCTCATTGGGCCAATCGGCTCTGCCCCAGGGGCGGGGTCACCTGGCTCAAACCCAGCCCCAGAGTTAAGTTTCACCAGGGGGAAATTGCCGGCGAGCGAGGCAGGGTCGGCACAGGTGACCGGGCCGCCCGGGGAGGGGGTGGGCCAGCCCGAATCTTGGCCCCTCGAGAGCTGCTGGGAGCCTGGGTCTTGACCCAGGGAACATTCCTTGACAGAATTCCAGGCTGGAGCTCCCATCTCCCGTGAGATCTGATTCCCCAACCTACCGCTGCTATTTGGAAAAGAAAAGATTGGATTCCAACTCCTGTATTTATTTTTTTCATGTCTGGAATGTCCATTTCATTCGAAGGCATCAGGAGCAGTGAGGGAGAAGCAAGAGGGCTCTGTCCCTCCACCCCCACCCCTTACCTGGCCAGACCCCCCCTGTCTGTGCTGAGGGCCCACCCTGTGGAGAGGAAGGGGGCCAGCACCTGCGAGGGGCCTGCTGTGGCCCCAGAACCATCTCTGTGAGCGGGAGCCTGGCCCCCACTGTGGCAAATCAGCTGAGCTGTCACCTTCCTGCGCACTTCTTGGGTTTCAGTTGGCACCTAATGGTAACCATGGAAATGTCTGCGTGTCTTCGTGTGAGCCACTTCCCCAGGCCTCACCCTCAGCTGATAATGAAGCAAACCTCAGACCGAATTCCATCGTACACCAAGGCATTTATGAAAGATGTGTTCGTCAACGAGGCACAGAGCCCCTCATCCAGCCTGCTCTGAAAGCAGAATGCAGACACCATCCTCGGTCATATTAGGTACTGTGGACCTCAGCTTGTGTGAAAGACTCACCCAGGGCAGGGTCTAGGTGCCCCCATAGTCCGCATCAGGCAACCAGAAATCCCCCCAGAGACTGGGCATGGGCAAGTTGAGGGATCAAGCTTCAGGTGCCATCCCTAAAGAAACAGGCCCCGGGCTTCTCTCTCACACTGTGCTCCTACAACTCTGGGGTGGGTCAAAAGTATTTTAGTCACTTCCCATCTTTTTTTTTTTTAATTTTTTTTTTTAAAGATTTTATTTATTTATTTGAGAGAATGAGAGAGAGAACATGAGAGGGGGGAGGGCCAGAGGGAGAAGCAGACTCCCTGCCAAGCAGGGAGCCCGATGTGGGGCTCGATCCTGGGACTCCAGGATAGTGACCTGAGCCGAAGGCAGTCGTTTAACCAACTGAGCCACCCAGGCGCCCCTAGCCACTTCCCATCTTATGAATAGCCTCATTTCACCAATGAGAAATCATTTCTAGCCCCTATTAGGCTGATGATCATGTCCTTAATTTTTCCAAGGAAAAATCATTTTCAATATTCAGTGTGCTAGTTAGAAAACATCTGGTGATCAGAAATGAAGATAGTTTATGTAGCCTCGTCTTTCAGGCAGAATGCCAGCCTACTGCCCCTGGTGTGTGGTTTCCTGATTAGAAAGTTGGCTACTCCTGGGGAGTTCTTGGGAAAAAACTGGCCTCTCTCTCTTTTGTTTTTCAGGCACCAGGAGAGTGTGCATAGGGACTGAGCATGACCCTTTTCTGGAAAAGTCTCAAGGAAGGGGGCCCACTAGAGTAGCCCAGAGAGCAAAGCAAACAGAGAGGGTGTAGAGAGAGCAGGCTGATGGTGCCAACATTTGCCCTGAGGGTCTGGCCGAGAGGAAGGGCTGAGGGGATCCTCACAACCCAGGCCTCCTGCCTCCTTTCCTGACCAGCATCCCCGAGGGTGGGCAAAGAGCCTTCTAGTCCCTTGCCTTCCCGAAGCCCCCAGGGTAGGACCAACCCTCCTGCTGTGTAGGATGCAAGGGGTTCTCAGGGAAACAGGAGAGTTTGTCTTCAAGTTCCCCACCTCCCTCTTTAGCATTCCTCCTTCCTAACTCTCTACTGCCTCCCCATCCTGACCATTTGTTTCAAAGAACACCCTCCCTCCCTCCCAACAACCCTGGTTCCAGGCTACACAACCCTCACACCAAGACTTGGCCCATCCTAAGTCCCATTTCTTCCAGGTCCTACCAGAGAACTGAAAGCCACCATGGACTACTTTTTACTAAGATACCAATGGATTGAAAGGAGATTGAAAGCAAATGTTGTCTGGAAAGGCAAAGGCTAAAAAGCTGAATTCACTATGGCAAATTCCAGGTACCAGGACAGGAGGATAGAAACAGATGGGGATTAAGGGGACATCCCACAAAACCTATAGAGAGATGAGGGGACTGTCTGGTGATGTTCTGGGCAGCTCTCTAGGTGACTCACCATAGGGAGGTGGGACAATGACCCTATCCCACAGCAGAGGGACTGCTGAGGGCAGCCTGGTTCTCTGAGCACTGCTGTCACCCTGGCAAGTGGCTCCTCTGAGCACCTGTCACCTCACCTTGGGCAGCATAGGGTTGTTCCCCTGGAGGATGGTTCTGTGGTACATCTAGCCAGCTGGTGGCCCTGAGAGTTCATTTGTCCTCCTATGTCTCAGTCACCCCAGATAGCCCTGAGTTTTCAGGGGAGTCTTGTGACGAGTTGGTTCCAGCCTGGTCTCTCTTGCACTGGGGGATTAAGGGACCCACCAGCTTTCACATGCTTGGGAAGGTACAGCCCAGGGAGGGTGACATCCTTAAGCCTCAAGCCTGACAGGGAGTGGCTGTAGCGGCCACCATGAAGGATGGCCAAATGGAGCAGCCATTCAGTAGGGTCACTGGTGGCAGAGGCTGGCTGAGCAAGCCTGAGATCATGGGGACTTGGCACTTCTGAGACCACATGAAAGGCTTGCTGCGAAAGAACAGAGGGATATTCAGAGGTGGCTAATTTTTTCAAAAGACTTTATCTTTTAGAGCCATTTTAGCTTCCCAGCACAATTGGGAGGAAGGTACAGAGAGTTCCCGGACACCCCTTGCTCGCCCCATGCACAGCCTCCCCCACTATCAACATCCCTCAGCAGAGGATCCATTGTTGTTACAATTGATGACCCCACACGGACACATCATAATGCCCCAAAGTCCACAGTTCACTTTTGGGTCCACTTTCAGTGTTGGATATTCTGTGGGTCTGGACAAATGTGTAATGACACGTACCCATCATTAGAGCCTCATGCACAGTATTTCACTGCCCTAAAAGTCAAGGTGGCTAATGTTCAGCATTCAACCTAGGGGCAGCTTGAACCCTGGCAATTTAGGCAGGGAAAGTGCATATACTTCCATCTGGTAGTCACAGACGATGAGCACCAGACTTGGAGTTGACAAAGAAAGCTAAAAGAGGGCTGAGCGAAGGAGGTGCTTGGGAAGACGTTGGGAACTGCGTACGCAGAGTCACAGGGTTCAAGCACCAGGTGGTGTGGCTACAGTGGGACAGAATTCAGTGGTTGGGTCTGGATTTTTTTTGGCACCCCAACAGTAAAATGAATGATGTGTCATGACAACAATGGTGAGTCTTGGTGGAAGGATGTAGACAATCCATGGAATACTAGCTATGCACCAGACATCATGGGGGGTGACTTCTCCACATGACCTTACTTAATCCTGACAACATCAGTGGGAAGTGGATCATTACCCCCATCCCAGAGAAGGTGGGACCCAAGCTCTGAGAGTCAAGAGCTTTTCCCAAGGTCACTCAGCTAGAAATTGCTAGGAGAACCCAACAGGTGCCAAATTAATGTTCCTTTCTTCCTTTCTGGTTCAGAGGTCTAGAAAACTACGGTGGAAGTCCTTCCTGAAGATACACTTACTGATTCTTTGGTCTTGGTACAATTAGCCCATCCTTCAGCCAGTGAGAAAGGGAAAGGGAGAGACAGAACCTAGGTGGCCCGAGGGCGAGGGTCTCGCAGACAGCGGAGCCCTGGGGTGTCTGCACTGGTCTCTGCAGCTGCAGGATTTGGGGTTCCTTCAGGCTGTCACTGGTTTGGGGATTAGCTCTTCAAAAGAAAGTATCCAACAATGCCTAGAAGGCTCATTGCCAGGGTCGCCCCTCCTCCAGTCAGGGCATATGCCACCTGAAAGTGAATAGCCCATGGTCAGCATCCACAGCAAGTGCAGACAGGTTCTCCCTCCCTCCCAAGGGCTTGGGGGCTACACTCATTCTCCCTCCGAGCTGCCAGCCCAGAGTCCTCTCCTAGGAAGATGCTGGCTGGGTTACAGGGGACCTACTTCCTAGGAGACCTGTAAGTTGAGGAGGCCTCTTAGTGGTGGTCTTGTCTGGGCTTCTCCTGACAACTAGTGGGATGGGCGGATGGGATCCTTTTTTGTGAGCTGACGGGGTGATCACATTTGTTCCTGACTCAGGGTGGGAAGGGGGGAGGGGTTGTGCTTTGTTTCTGGGTGGGGCAGAGCTCTGGGGCTGAGCCTGGGAACTGCTCTGCAGTGTGGGCTACACTACAGACCTGTGGAGGGAGGGGCTGTGGCAGAAGCTGAGGAGAAACTTCAGGAAACCATGGCCACAGGAAGCATATTGGGTTCACTATGCACTGTGCACTGCAGCCTGGAAATTTCTATCTCCAGCCCCACCTCAACCCTGAACTCCAGACTCCTAGGTCCAACTGCTACTCAACATCGCCACCAGGAGCTCTAATGGTCACCCATCACCAACCACATCCATAATCTTCATTTCCCTCCTCAAACCTGCTGCTTCCATCCTCATCCTCATCCTCATCTCATCCAGGGGCCTCCGTCCACCCAATCTCCTGGGCCTGGAGCCCTGCAGGTGCTTCAGTACGGCGGTAGGGAGCAGAGACTCTAGAGAAGGACAGCTGGGGTTGGAATCTTGCCTCTGCCACTTATTAGCTGTGTGTTTGGGGGACAACAAATGTGGGAGCCAGAAGGGGTGGGTGGGGAAACTGTGCCCCAGATCCTCCATAAATGAATCCTTGAGCTCATACATAGGCCCATGGACCTTGAGCATCCCTTGCCTGAGTGCTCTCTGGGACCTTAGATCTGTCATGGTGCTGGCTTGGCCCACACTCTTTCTGACATCCTTTGGGGGCATCAAGAGCTGCCTTTATGGTGGATCCTACAGGTGATGGATCCTAGAAGGTCAGACTGGCAGGCCTCCAGAGGTCCTCCATCCAACTCCTCCTCCTGCACATGGGGAAACTGAGGCCCAGGGAGGGAGTGACTTGTCCACAGACCCCCAGTGGATCAGAAGCTGATTGAAGATTTGAGCTCAGACATCCTGACTCCCAGCCAGTGGGTCATGGTGATTCTCCCCTCTGGCTGCACAGCTTGGTCACTGCCACCCCAAGGGGACCTCCAGGAGAAAGAAGGATTGTCTCAAAGAGGGCCTTACCTGCCTGCTGTTGGGCTCGCCATATCTCAGGTTGGTGACAAAGTCCTCAGAGCTCCTGCCCAGAACACTGTACTTCATCTCCTGACCAATCTTCTCCTTCGCAGAGTAGGTGATCAGCTTCAAAGGCCGTGGTCTGCACTTGTAGTCCAAGAGGTTGTAGACCCTATGGTGGCAGCTCCCCATCACTTCCTGAAGGAGCTCCTGTCTCACCACCACTCTGTTGCTCAGAATGGAAAAGATGATGCCAGAGCCAGCCCCCAGGTACTCACCTGGAATCAGAGACACCACCATGGTCATCGGGAGCTGCAGGGGAAGGCGAGACAGGGAGGGAGAAGGGGAAGGACATAAGGAGAACCAAGGGAGTACACTACTGAGGTCTTGCTGTTTGTCTTTTCACAAATGTGATTGGAGGAGTCACAGATTTTGTTCTTTTTACTGAACGAGCTGTGAATATTTTTTTAAGTCAGTTAATGTCATGATTGCTTATGCCAATGTCATTGTATTCCATCCCATGGATGTAGATCATCTATTTGATCAAGCCCTATCATTGAACACTTAGGTTGTTCAAAACTTTTGCTATCATAAACAATGATAGTCGTTTACTATTTGTGCAATTTTTGTGCACTCGTACATTTCAGAAAGAGATCAAATTTATTTTGGTATCCACTGCGTTTCACAAACTGTCTACTTTCCATATATTACTTCATCACCTTTTAACTTTTGAGGTAAATATTATCTCTATTTTATAATCAAAATATTGCTGTTGGGGAAGGTCATCCAGAGGATGTGACTGCTGGTGATCCATGAGCTGGACCCCAGAAATCAGAGGCTCCTCATCCCCTCCTTGTCCTTGGAATGTGCATTCTACTTGCCTTCCCTGCCTCCAGACCTATGGGACTCCACTCGATTACCCAGTGGGATATGGATGTATGGTCTGCTCAAGCAAGCTCAGGGAGTAACCAACTCAGTTTTCCCTTGCTCAGCATTTTCTTCTAATTGTTCTCATGATGGTAACAAATATTTTGAAAATAATATTTCCAACAGTGCTTACTTGGAGAAGTCAGATGGATCACATAACCGTCTCCCACATAGATGGCCCAGTGCTCATAGCCAATCGGAAAATCTGGATCAGGTCTCCAGGTTTGGCTTCTTCACTAAACTGCTACACAAAAACCCAAAATGGTGTAGGCGGGCTTCTAGGCAACAGTAGAGTGCCCAGTTGGGGCCCTGCAGCTTGGCCTGGGGACCCCACTGGGTGATGTTCATCACCTGGTGAGAGCCTGCAGTGGGAGGGAACTCCTGGCCCCTGTGGGGTCCTCATCCTGCTGTCATTTTGAGGTTCTGCACAACTAGGGGCTGGATGTCTGGAGAAAAGGTCCTTGTGGAATGGGAGAGTGGAGATTTGTTCAGTGTGTGCATATTATTATGTATGTATGTGCACACGCTCCAGTTGTATGGGATATGTGTGAGGGAGCACATGTGTGTATTTGTACATGTGGTACATGTGTGTCTCTGTGTTGTGTTCCATGTACATGTACATCTCTGTGTGTTGTATATGTTGGTTTTGCATGTGTGTGTTGGGTGTACTCATGTGCACATCTGTGTATGTGTATATGTTGGGTTTGTGTGTGTGTGTTGTGCGTACTCATGTGCACACTGAGGCTGTGAGCAAGCATGTGCAGGTGCATTGTACACCTGCTCCCGAGCCTGCAGACATGACCACCTGCATGGAAACCCCTTCGCTGAGCCTGGGAGCCCCAGACCCTCCCCAGCAGTCAGGGAGGAGAGTCACCAGCTTCTCTACCCTTCGCCAGTCCTTATCACACCTCTTGGCCCTCATTGTCCATGGTTGCACCAGGTACCTGATCCTCCTCAGATGCTGGCCCCTCCAGCCCCAGGACACCCGCCCTTGGAGATGCCAACCTGAGAGACATTGGCTGACGGCATCACCCGGGGACCTGAAGTTCTGGAGAGCAGGGCAGCTTCTGCCCTGAGGGGGCTTGCTCCCAGAATGCACATGGCAGGCCTCAGTGGGCACTTTTCCAGAAGCCTCAGGGGAAGGAAGCATCACCCTATTGTTCAGGTGGGCAACCGAAGATCAGAGAGAGAGGGGCTTGGCCAAGAACACTCAGCTGGGCAGCGCTGAGCTGCCTCTTCTCCCCCTGATTTGGTCCTGCCTCTCTCCCCCTCCACACCTCTTTCCTGCTCCTCAGTGCCCGCCACCCCCACACCAGGGGGCCACAACCTCTGATTTGAGACTGTTTCAGTTTCTCTCCCTTTCTGTGCCTGCTCTCAGCAAACCACAAACCTCTATAACTCATTGCAGGCCACCTAATCAAAGACCAGGGGCCAGCTTTCCTTAGCCCTCTTTGTCATGCCAATATCCAAAAACCAACACTGATCCTGGGAGTTTCTCCTGAATTCATCACCTTCTCATCCTCTGAATTCATCAGGCAGTCTTCGGGGCTGACTCTGAGACTTCACAGCTTTTTTTTTTTTTTTTAATTTTATTTATTCTAGTAATCTCCAACCCAACATGGGGCTTGACTCACCACCCTGAGATCAAGAGTTGCATGCTCTTCCAAGTTAGCCAGCCAGGTCCCCAACCCTCTTGACTGCACCCCCCCCACTCCCACCAGGCCATCTGTGCATGCTACCCCACACCCAGTCTCCCCAAGACCCACTGTGGCCTTCCCAAAGGGCACATCTGGCCATGAACTTCCCCTGGCCTCAGGGCATAGGGCATGCACCTTGGGCAGCTCAAAGGCTCTCCAACCAGCCCTTCCTCAGCCCACCTCACCCTCCCTGCCCTCTGGCCCCAGGCTGACTGGCTTGCCCTTCTCCTCACCATAGAGCTGGCCCCTGCTTCTGATCCTCTGCACATCTGGCTGTCTCGGTCACAGTCACCTTCCCCACCTCTCCTTTCTTCTTCTCCCCCACACAGACATCCCTCTCTGAGCAGCTGCTCTCAGGGCCCCAGCCTGGCTCAGCTGCCACCTCCCTCTGCATGGATCCTGTCCTGCTGGGATTCCCCGTGTCTGTCTGCACCTCCCTGTGGGCTCTGAGCTCCACTGGGGCAGGATCCTGTGTGCTGCCCAGCTCCTTCCTTCCCAGGATCCGGTGAAGGGCCTGGCCTGGAATGGGGGCAGAGGACATCCACATGGAAGAGGGGCTGGAGGGTAAGCGGTGCCATGACTCAGCCAGCCAGGGCACGGCAGGCTCAGGGATGATCTCCACGTTGGAATCAAGGGGATTTTTCACTCTGGAAAACAGTATGGAGGTTCCTCAAAAAGTTGAAAATAGAGCTACCCTATGACCCAGCAATTACACTACTGGGTATTTACCCCATAGATAAATGTAGTGATCTGAAGGGGCACATGCACCCTAATATTTATAGCAGCAATGTCCACAATAGCCAAACTATGGAAAGAGCCTAGATGTCCATCCAACAGATCAATGGATAAAGAAGATGTGGCATATATACACAATGGAATATTATGCAGCCATCAAAAAAATGAAATCTTGCCATTTGCAACAACGTGGATGGAACTAGAGGGTATTATGCTCAGCAAAATAAGTCAATCAGAGAAGATAATTATCATAGGATCTCACTGATATGAGGAATTTGAGAAACAAGACAGAGGATCATAGGGGAAGAGAGGGGAAAATGAAACAAGACGAAACCAGAGAGGGAGACAAACCATAAGAGACTCTTAATCTCAGGAAACAAACTGATGGTTGCTGGAGTGGAGGGGAGTGGCAGGGATGGGGTGGCTCAATGATGGACATTGGGGAGGGTGTGTGCTATGGTGAGCGCTGTGAGTTGTGTAAGATTGATGAATCACAGACCTGTACCCCTGAAAAAAAGAATACATTTTATTTTTTTATTTTTTTAAAGATTTTATTTATTTATTTGACAGAGAGAGAGATAGCGAGAGCAGGAACACAAGCAGGGGGAGTGGCAGTGGGAGAAGCAGGCTTCCTGCTGAGCAGGGAGCCTGATATGGGGCTTGATCCCAGGACCCTGGGACCATGAACTGAGCCGAAGGCAGAGGCTTAACCGACTGAGCCACCCAGGTGCCCCAAAAATAATACATTTTAGTTAATAAAAAAATATATATAAACAAACAAAAAAAACCGAAATGGTATTTGTCACTCTGGGGTTCAATGTCTAACTAAGGTCAGGCCCAGACACCCTGCACAGTGGCTGGTGGCAGTAAAATGTGACCCCGGGCCCCGCCCGGAGAAGGAGAGGCTGCCCAGGCAACAACAGGCAGATTTGTTTTGGCAGCAAGCAGGCCCTTGGCCCACCCCAGCGGATCAGGTGAGTGCAGAGTGGGCCACTCTTTCCGAGAATGGCCTCATTTCCTCGAATTGCATGATTCAACTCATTCCCCTTCAGCGCACCCCAACCACGCAGCCGGCCTGCCCCCGCCTGGACCGTGTGAATCTGCACATCAGGGCTGACAGGAAGGGAGATCAGAGTCAGAAGGCTGGAATGGAAGCATACTTACCGAGGCAGGACAGATGCCAAGGAGGGAAGAGGAGAGAGGAGGAGAGAGCTGAGCAGGCACTGAACTCCTGCCCCAGCAAGGGAGACAGGCACATTGGAGATGCCCTCACTTCCCAAGTCCTGGGACCCCCCCCTCGGCCCACACACCAGATGCTTCCCAGCTCAGGCAGGCAAAGCTCCCACCCCAACCCAGCTCCTTCCCCGGGAGCTGAGCCGGAGGACAGGGGAGGCTCAGTGGGCCCGAAGCCCGCACTGTTCTGCAGGAAAAGGGACTTTGAAACAACCAAGACTTTTCCATAACATCCTTCTAAAGCCTTTCCAAACTCTGGAGTTCAGAGTGCCCAACACCAGGAACCCACACGGAGGCCTTTATAAGAGGGGGTTGGCCTAGTGCTGGAGAACTGCAAATAGAAAGTTATGCAAAAATAAAAAAAGGGACTTACCTCAGCCATGGTGGAGTCTGCTGTTCTCCTGCGTGTGGACGGACTTTTATACCAAAGGTGACGGTTTTGCTTTCAGTTTCCTTTAGACACTCTTTAATAACAACTACATAGGAAACTTTCCTTTTGAAAGTAGACTCCACACCCAGCATGGATCCCAAAGCAGGGCTCAAACTCCAACCCTGAGATCCAGACCTGATCTGAGGTCAAGAGTCACACACGTAAGAGTGAGCCACGCAGGTCAGCGTCCAGGGGCTGGCACCTCCAGCATCAGAGCAGGCTGGATGAGGGGCTCTGTGCCTCCTTGGTGAACACATGTTTCATAAATGCCTTGGTGTACGATGGAATTCCGTCTGAGGTTTGCTTCATTATCAGCTGAGGGTGAGGCCTGGGGAAGTGACTCACACAAAGACACGCAGATATTTCTGTGGTTACCATTAGGTGCCAACTGAAACCCAAGAAGTGCGCAGGAAGGTGACAGCTCAGCTGATTTGCCACAGTGGGGGCCAGGCTCCCGCTCACAGAGATGGTTCTGGGGCCACAGCAGGCCCCTCGCAGGTGCTGGCCCCCTTCCTCTCCACAGGGTGGGCCCTCAGCACAGACAGGGGGGGTCTGGCCAGGTAAGGGGTGGGGGTGGAGGGACAGAGCCCTCTTGCTTCTCCCTCACTGCTCCTGATGCCTTCGAATGAAATGGACATTCCAGACATGAAAAAAAATAAATACAGGAGTTGGAATCCAATCTTTTCTTTTCCAAATAGCAACGATAGGTTGGGGAATCAGATCTCACGGGAGATGGGAGCTCCAGCCTGGAATTCTGTCAAGGAATGTTCCCTGGGTCAAGACCCAGGCTCCCAGCAGCTCTCGAGGGGCCAAGTAGTAATATTTCCTCACTGCTGAATCCATTGTTGTTTAACTTTGTTACTTTTAGCTAAAGATGTTCCAGTGAATGCAGTGTATACTTTGTGCCCAAAAGAACCTAACCTAGATGCGTCTGTGCTTTTGCTGTGGATGTGGTGCTTCCACCAGTCACTCTCCAGTCCCTTCTAGCCAAATACCTCCTGAGAGTTCAGTTCCTGAAGGGCCGTGGAAAGAATGTCCTTGCGGTAGATGGGATTATTTTTTCTCCCATTATGCTCCCTCACAGTAATAGATTATACCTCCCTGCCATTATCATGTGACTTGGCCATGTTCCTCACTGACTTCTGGCTTGGTCATGGGATCTGCTGTGGCCAAGGGGAGCAAAGGAGCACACACGTCAGTTCCCACATCTGAGCAGAAGTTTTATTATTTTTTTTTTTCTTTTAGAGTTTGAAATGCACATTTATTTTTTTTATTATGTTATGTTAGTCACCACACAATACATCATTAGTTTTTGATGTAGTGTTCCATGATTCATTGTTTGCATATAACACCCAGTGCTCCATGCATTATGTGCCCTCCTTAATACCCATCGCCAGGCTAACCCTTCCCCTCTCCCCCCTCCCCTCTAAAACCCTCAGTTTGTTTCTCAGAGTCCATAGTCTCTCATAGTTCATCTCTCCCTCTGATTCCCCCCCACACTTCATCTTTCCCTTCCTTCTCCTAATGTCCTCCATGCTATTCCATATGTTCCACAAATAAGTGAAACCGTATGATAATTGACTTTCTCTGCTTGACTTATTTCACTCAGCATAATCTCCTCCAGTCCCATCCATGTTGATGTGAAAGTTGGGTATTCATCCTTTCTGATGGCTGAGTAATATTCCATTGTATATATGGACCACATCTTCTTTATCCATTCATCTGTTGAAGGGCATCTCTGCTCTTTCCACAGTTTGGCTATTGCGGACATTGCTGCTATGAACATTGGGGTGCATATGGCCCTTCTTTTCACTACATCTGTGTCTTTGGGGTAAATACCCAGGAGTGCAATTGCTGGGTCATAGGGTAGCTCTATTTTTACTTTTGTGAGGCACCTCCACACTGTTTTCCAAAGTGGCTGCACCAAATCGAGCAGAAGTTTTAAACGAGAGTGTGTGGCTACGCTCAGCTTCTTCAGCTCTTGTGCCCTTTGTCGTGAGGAAGACATGTCCCAGCTAGAGGCTGCTCCTTCAGCCGGGATACCGGCATGAAACCCAGATGGTAGAGGCCTGAAGTCGACAAGGCAAACTCAGCTGAGCCCAGAAGAATCTCAGCTGACTCCCAGTCCCCAGGTTATGGGAAGAACTAAGTGTTTGTTGTGCTAAGCCCCTGGGCTCCCCCAGTTTTTTTGTTAGCACTGCAAAGCTGATGAAACCCTCAGGTGGGAGTCAGGGATGTTGTGCTGGCTTCAACAGTAGCCCTCCCTGGGGCCAGGGATGGCTGCCCAGGGGCACCATTTCTCTTCTGCTTTCTCTGTGTCAGGGGGTCCCTGTGTGATTGTCCATCATGGTCATTTCTTAGGCTTCAGAGTTTTGTTCACTGCTTGGTTAGTGCACGATCGACTCTGAGCTGGGCAGAATGAATCTCAAAAGCGAGATTCTTGGAGTTTATCTAGAGGTGGGGCAGGAGACCAGCAGGTACCAGACTCGCTCAGTCTCTGCTTCATGATGTCTATGCCAAGTCCTCCTGCTTATAAGGGAAAAATCTATGGTGGGTTGCCTCCCTCAGTCTGCTTTGCTGGTCTTGGGGAGAGTGGGCACCAGCTGCTATTTTGAAAATTCGTGTGAAAATTCCATTATTATATGAAAGACTGCTTTCGCTGGGGGGCTTTGAGGTCTTTGCCGAGGGGCTCTGTCTTGTCTGTGTCCACAGGGCTCGGTTGCATGCCTGGTGTGTAGGGAGGGGGAGGCACGGTGAGTGATACGTGAAGGGAGCTGGGTCCTTGTTCTAGAAGCTGTGCCTGTCTGGGCCTTGGGGGCCCAGCTTGCTCACACTCAGCTCGCAGAGGAGCCTCTGTGGGGGGAAGCCTTACGGCTAAGGAAGGTGAACTAATCCCCACCCTGCCTTCCTCTGCTCCTGGCCAAGGTTTGGAGCTTCTCACTCCCGCAACAGCACTTCTGTCCCTCTCCTTCCTTTCACCGTCTTTGCTCTCAGTTGCAGACCAGTCTTGCCCAGGCTGTGAAGAACCCAGTCCCAGCAGCCACACCCCCCCCCACCCATTGTGTCATCGAAGTTGCAGGCAGGCTTGGTTTCAGTTCAGTGGTGTACCGCTGAAGACCATCCCTATGCTTGCCATACCCTGGCAGAGAGAAGGGAGTCGCTGGCCCCGCGTCCTGGCCCCGGTGACCCTCCAGCCCCTCTTCCATGTGGATTTCCTCTGTCCCCATTCCAGGCCAGGCCCTTCACCGGATCCCGGGGAGGAAGGAGCCGGGGCAGCACACAGGATCCTGCCCCAGTGGAGCTCAGAGCCCACAGGGAGGTGCAGACAGACACGGGGAATCCCAGCAGGACAGGATCCATGCAGAGGGAGGTGGCAGCTGAGCCAGGCTGGGGCCCTGAGAGCAGCTGCTCAGAGAGGGATGTCTGTGTGGGGGAGAAGAAGAAAGGAGAGGTGGGGAAGGTGACTGTGACCGAGACAGCCAGATGTGCAGAGGATCAGAGGCAGGGGCCAGCTCTGTGGTGAGGAGAAGGGCAAGCCAGTCAGCCTGGGGCCAGAGGGCAGGGAGGGTGAGGTGGGCTGAGGAAGGGCTGGTTGGAGGGCCTGTGAGCTGCCCAACGTGCATGCCCTATGCCCTGAGGCCAGGGGAAGTTTATGGCCAGATGTGCCCTTTGGGAAGGCCACAGTGAGTCTCGGGGAGACTGGATGTGGGGTAGCAGGGACAGGAGGCCAGGGAGGCTGGTCAAGAGGCTGTGGGGGTCACGGAGGCAGGGACGGGGGCTGCCCTGAACCAAGTTGGAGGGTAGGAAATGGATGAGGAGGAAAATTCAGGGGAAACTTCTAGAGTTAGCATTGACTGGACTTTGTGGCTGAACACAGATGCCGGGGGTGGAGGTGGAGGTGGGTTCGGGGGAAGGGGCGTGTGAGGGAAATGGTGGATTTAGGATGGCCCTCTTTTGGGATTGCATAGCCTGGAATGAGGGGTTGGGGTGCTGGATGTCATTCTCCAGATCAGGAACACAGAAGAAGAGGAACAGAAAAGGCATTGATCCTTGCAGCTGGGGTGTTCTGGGTCGGACACTGACAATAAGGAAAGGGGTATGGAAGGCAGGGCCATGGGGCCACTAGTGGGAGATGTGGGCAGAGGGGAGACCCAGCTCAGCTTTTTCACACAAGTGACATTGAGCAAATCACCATCTTCTGGGAGCCCAGATTCCTGCCTCTGAACAAGGCGGGATAATGCTTCTTCCTCGAGATCTTGCTCCCTGGCCAAGCTGGCTGTCAGGACATCAGCCAAGACAGAAAGGCATCCCGAGGCCAGGAGAGGATCTAAGGAGGGGCCTCGACACGGTCATGGACATCATGAGCAGGGGGTGCTGGCTTGTGGTCAGTCTGCAAGGAGGGAAGGGGCTCAGCATGGACTTCCCAATGTTGTCTTGGCTGGCTGTGGTGCTGGGACGTGTTGGGAAGATGCTGGGACATATGGTGTCATGACAACATGTGTGCAGAAACACGGCCACACACAGGAACATGCGTGTGAACACACATCTGAATGAACGTGTACTCCCGGGACACCCCCCTCCTTTTCCATGACTCAGGGGTGGGAGAGCGGGTCATTTTTCCCAGACTCCAGTGTCTGGCATCTGCACAAAGGGAGCCCTCTAAGAGGGACAGTGGGGCCGGGCATACCTCATGTGACAAGCGCTCGCACCTCGCTGCTCTCCCCGTGCACGGATGGAGCAGGCCAAACGCCAGACCCGGCGACCTGCTTGAGATTTTTCGGAGTGACTATGAGCACCGGGCCATCCACATGGGAGACGGGAACGTGGCCCCTGCAAGCGGGGAAAGATCTTCTGTTTAAACATCAGCCCTTAGACACATGAGTGTGTGCCTACTGACTCGTAATACAGTGTTCTTGCCTATTGAGCACCTTGGATTTTTTGGAAATAAAAGACTCTGGAACCTTATTCTTTATAGGATGGCAGGCATTTGTTGTACATCAATTGAAGTGCATTTTTTTTTTGGCAAGCCTTCGCATGGGTCCCAAACAGAACTTCTTTGCAAAACGGTCCGCACAGTGTCAGCCTGGCTCCACGGAGACAGCGGGCCCTTCAGAATTTGTGAGTCCTGCTTCCGACTCCTGACGCCACAGCGATTCCCCCCGGAGTCGAGAGTGTGTCTGTCTGTGATTCCCAGTAAGTTCTTCACATCCTAAAGCAACCGGGTCAACAAACCCCCCGACTACCACACAGGCCCGGCGTGTGGATGAGGTCATCAGTTCTGTGAAGAAGATCGTTGAATGGAGGGCGTCCACCCATCTGAAAAACGATGGTGAGCGCTTCATCACCCATCTGAGACACGGTCCCCACAGGTGAGACGCTTTGGGTGTGAGGCCCCATCTCCTAGGGTTCTGCTCGTGCTGGGGGAGGGGGCGCTGGCAACATGGGGGGAAGCATAGTATCTCTCACATTTCCAGCAAGAGCCACCATTCATTGAGTTCCAACTCAGTACGAGGCATTTTAAGTAATTTTGACTCATAAACTCACCACCATCCCGCTGGGTTGATGTAACTGCCCATAACTTTCCATGCGAACATGCATGCTGAATTGGCCCAAAGCCGTGACGTCTAAGCTCATGGAGCAGTGGGATTTGACCTCTGTATGCTTCAGGGGCATGTTCAGGGGGATAGTCAGCAGAGAGCCCCGAGAGCCTGCACTGACCAGGAGACAGGGAGAGCTCGTTCTGACTTTGGCACCCCCAGCTCAGCTCTGCGACCTCTGATAAGTTCCTGGGCCAGTCTGCCTGGCTTTCTCCTTATCCTGTCTGCATCACAGGGGTTTTTACACGAATGAAGTGTGTGGGAGAGTGATGGAAAATGGACAGGGCTGCTTACATATGAACCTCACAGTCCTTTGGGGTGATCAGAGCAATGACTTACCATCCCTCTTCTACACTGGAGAGAGCTGAAGCTCAGAGAGGTCCCGGGGTCTACCTGAGCCTCATGAGCATAGGTCCTATCACCTTGAGTCTGGCACTTTCTCCACTCTTCCTCCTGCTCTTGGTTTGTACTAGGGTCTTGCTTCCCTAATTTGGGGTGTCCCCACCTTCTCTGGCATTGCTGCTTTATCCTCCCCTCTACCCCGCCCTCCCATAGCCTGGGTCCCATCCCTCAAGCCTGGCTCTCAGCGGTCTGGTCACTAGTCCCTATCAAGGGCTGTGCTGGCCCTGCCTGAGGTGTCTTCTTTCCTGGAGCAATTTCATATGTCAAAGGGTATGGAAATTTCCAGAGTCTTCAAGGCCTGAAATAGTTATTCTCAATCCTGGCTGCATGTCAGAATCTCCTGGGAGCTCTTAAAATATTCTGATGCACAGACCCCACACCCAGACATTCTGATTTCATGGCTCTGGGGTGGGGACCAGGAACGAGCATGTTTTAAGAACTCCCCAGAAGGGGCGCCTGGGTGGCTCAGTTGGTTAAGCGACTGCCTTCGGCTCAGGTCATGATCCTGGAGTCCCTGGATCGAGTCCCGCGTCGGGCTCCCTGCTCGGCGGGGAGCCTGCTTCTCCCTCTGACCCTCCCCTGTCTCATGTGCTCTCTCTCTCTCATTCTCTCTGTCTCAAGT